TGTACAAAGACCAGAGAGACGAAAACAGAGAGAGTCGGATAAACAAAACATACAGCACTCCCCTGCATTATGGAACTTTTTTTGGGAGCAGGACAGCCAGGGTTAATTAAAATAAACAAACAATCCAAAGCAAACAATATGGCTCTGAAATAGTGCCAAAACAGGAAAACGGAGTTTTATTTTTGCATAAAGCCAAATGAACGCATGAGAACAACCAAAAGCGAGGAGAGAAGTTTGGCAGTTTGAACTGAAATACAAATAAACATATTTTCCTATTCATTGTTCTGCCAGCACCACACAAATTGCAGCAACTGCAGTCACCTAAGAAAGAGCAAAATATGTAATGATCATCACAGTAAACGCTCCTGGCAAGTTAGTTAATGATTACTGGGCATATCAGTATGCCAAATGACCTGCCTATATGTTGTCTCGTCTAACACAACATTTAAAAAGAATACATTTTATTTCTACATGTGTATAACAGCTAATATGTTTTTAAACATTAGCATAGGTGCACATACTATTTAAAATTTAAAAGTACAAATAATAATAATAATAATAATAAATAAATAACAAATTAAAACATATAGGCTAACGTATTTTTCAGCAAAGCAATTTACACATTAACATATAGAAAACCTAAACTTTAGGCTGCTTCATAACTTTGACCTGTATGCTGTCCTACTTAAGATGATCTTGAAAAGGCCATTGTTTCTGATTATTTATTTCCGTTTCTGTATCATCATAGTCTTACTAGAGCTTTAATTACTTGCAGTGTCAATCAATTCACACTGCAAGTCTGCAAGTCATTTTTTGTACTTCATAGCACATAGTTTCTCACCACAGCTTCTGTCTTTAGACAGCTAGACTGTCAATGGAATAACAATTTTTATTAATATTCGGTTTTTCAGTTCACTTACAGCACTGCATCTCTTAAATCAGTACAATCCAACAAGATGATGATCTGAAACCGGTGAGTTAAATAAGTTAGACACAAAATGAGCAGTGCTGTGGTTCCCACCAGAATTGAAAACAACTGTCCTAAATGTCCTACATTTTATTGTAGCATACAACATTACAGTAAGGTGATGAGGAGAGCAAAAAGACTACTCTAAACATTATACACAATATACAACAGTTAAATGGCAATCTCTTTACTTGATATTTATGATAATGATCTGTATGATCATTATTTTGATAACATTTGCATATTTGTACACTAATATTACATGACTGTTTTTCATGCCATGGTGCCACATTTTTAAAAAAGCTGTGGAGAACCTGGTGTTCTGTTCCATACCGTAACCTGCTTCAAGTTTTAATTGCACCAATAGGGAAATTCCTGTATTATGAAATTCCTATTATTATGGAATCATCATACAGGGTCAAAGGGCATGATTAATTTATTTTTTTTCTTTAATTTCCTAATTAATTGCAATAAACTGACATCAATAATTTTATGTTGATTGTAGATACCTAAATGCATGATGCAATTAGTTATCCTCTAGATATTTTGAAGCAGTTTACTTGTACGATAGCAACCAAATCTAATCTGGATTAAAAAAAAAGAAAAGAATAGGAACCTAACAACATATAGAAGTCCTTGAAAACAGATCAAAGACTGCTTATTTATAAAGATCAGTGCATTGAATTTCCCTTTACCGCAAAATATCTTTAAATAACTTATATAATCTGCTGAACTACAATGCACAAATGTATTGTTGCAACATGTAATACATACTCGCTTAATAATGCATTAAATATGACAAAATATCAAAATATATTAAAAGAAATATACCACTGTTCGCACATACAGCCAATGTTGTGTATTGAATTATTCATTATACCTGAACGTCCTGCTATGTAAGAAAAATGATTAAAAAATCCAAGTCAGTACACTCAGTTAGTTCACAGTACAAAAATAAAACAAATTATTTATTCTCATAGCTTTAGAACCCTTAAACTTGGTTTGATATGAGTGGGTTGATGTCTTTACAACATGAACAACTTTAAAACAAAGACGCCTGAATTCACGACCACATGGTAAAGTTAAATAGTTACTTCAACTATTTGCAACCCAAAAATTACTTAACAGAAACAGTCAAATTAGTTTGCATAAGTGATGTAAAAGTTAACGAAAGAAGTACGACTTTCGATTTCGATTTTCTAGCAGCCTGTCTTTGCTAACAAGACTCCAAAAGACTACAACAGACTAACTATCCGAAATTATACATTATAATTATACACATTTCGAGCAGTCTGTCTCTTTAATCGAGCATGCAAACGTGATTTTGATACAGTGCACAGCTATAATGTACTTTTTTAGCAACATGACATCTACTATTCGCTTGCAGCGTTGCAGTCATGTAGACGGGACGATTAGCACTCTGACTACACGGCTAATGGGACTTCAAGCAAAAATAAATGGCAACTAAAGTAAGTCTTTGTGTGGTCTAAATATTAAAAAGCAAAACACTCGCCTCTAAAACGCTCGTAAAAGTCAAAAGAATGTAAACATGCGCTCGCACACATGAAAGCGCACTTTCCCTCGTCTGTGAAACCTCGCAGGCAACATTATACCACTGTGCCGCCCCTTTAAGGGTTACCACGGAAACCGGTTGCTACGCAGCAAAAACAAAAAAAGTACCAATCGTCCTGACGTCCTTGCGTCAGACGTGCGGGAACGGCGTTTCCACGGCGACGAGACGTTGTATACACACGCAGGGTTTGGTTGTAAACGTCGCGGGATTGTTTGCTTTAAGAATCCGTTTAGTTTGTTTTGCATTAAACCACAAAATGTGAGAAGGTTAAAAGGCGTTTGTTTGTTATCGTATTGTTTCCCTTCGTCTGTACATTTCTTGACTAGAATGGAAATGTTATGGTGCAGATCAGCGGAACTTAAAGGAAATAAAAAGGCATAATTTACTCACGCTAATGTTGTTCCAAACATGTATGCATTTATTTCTATTGGTAAACAAAAGACAGAGTGTTGGTGACTGACAGCCTTAGTCACCATTCACGTTCACCACCATGTTAAAAGTGAATGGTGACTGCGACTGTCATTCTGTCTAACATTACCTTTTGAGGTCTGTGAAAGAAAAAAAAGTGATAGAGCGTTGGTGAGTAGCTTAAATGGTGACTTGTCAGCTCAGTCTCAATTTGTTTTCTTAGCTAAATTACATCATAAACTAACATATGAAACATGCATTAACCAGACTGATGACTGATGCCCCTCAAACACCTGCCACACTGTTTTAAAGCGAACTATAGATATTTTCCCCTATCTAGCTTATCTTTAAGCGTCCCACATATAATTTCTCTGACGTAACCGCCGTTTTTTAATGTTCTGGCGGGTATTGGTAAAATGTTTGCCGCACATAGAAGTACTCCGCATTAGTCATTCCTGTTCATTCGTTATAATGTCTGCCACTGGACACGGCGTTCTCCGCCGGTGACGCTCAAGTGCTGCTGACTAATTGTTGTTATCCCCACCCTTCCCCACCGTCGAGGTGGACCAACACCGGCGTACAAACGTTTTATCTTACCATATGTTACTTCCCGAGTTAATTTGAGTTTTACCTTAATAACGAGCAGCCACACTCATTTCCTTGCACACAGAAATGAATCACCTTTGTTCCTTCAAGAAATGAATGTGCCAGCAGCCTGTGACACTCACTCTTCCGTCACTGCAGCCCACTGCCCGACTTGGAACTTGTACTTAGCTTCTTGTAAATGGCGAGTGTATCAGCCTTAATAATGAGCGCTTAGTTTTGCTGAACAATAACGTGAGTGCGAAACTGACCGTATACATTGTATTTCAATAATTTTAAGCATTTGGTTTAGTATTCATACTGAGTAAGTGATTGTCTTAAAACTGCCATAAAATAGCCTACCTTTCTTTGAATATAGCAACGCTAAACCGATTTTATCGTAGGTTATGTGGTGAGCAGATTTTTATAACACAAATAATAATAACAAAGAATTAGATGCATAGTTCCCAAACTTACCCACAATAGACAACGGTAATGTAAATCTCTGCTCCGACCGGTTCTCAAGACAGTTAGCATTGGAAGGAAGCTCCAGTGTATCGGCGATTCCGTGGGGCGTGTCGGTGAGAAAGTTTACAGTGGAGTCAAAACAGCTAAAAGCGGGTTTCCCTTCTGTGCTTAACTGCTACCTCAGCAAAATATTCTTCAATTAGCTTTACGACTGCTCGTGTGTTTTCTCCTGCTCTGTATTTGTACACATTTCTGCACTATAAACGGTGCACTAAAATTAAAAACATAAATGCTGTTGCCTTCCAGTTGTAAGTAAAACTTGTGTTAAAAGTTAAAACATGCAGCGCAACGTGCAGTGCATTTTATCCACCATTTTTAATTTAATTAATGAAAAATAAAATGAAAATAGCTGTAGAAATCGTGTAGAAATTATTCTGACTACTTAAATAGATTATGATATTAGCCTACATTATGATATGACATGATGATTTTTGTGCAGTCTATAGTTTTTCATAGCCCTCAGTCAGTACCATGTTTCTTTGTTTGAATAAGATTCTTTATTTGTTTATCACCATCCTGGTGTTTTAAACTCTTGTCTTCGATATTTTGAATAAAAGAGAACATTTTTAGAGAAAATGGTTTGTTTGAAACTGATAGTGACATAAAAATTACATAAAGCCATTGTTAAGCATAACACATTTTTGACGTAAAAATATATGCAGACCGTGTCGTTTCTAAATATTGTCCGTGAAAACCATGTAACAATTAAAAAATATCTCGTGGAAGCAATAGTAAACGTACCTATTCTTGACCACGATCGAGCTGTCTCTTTCTGTGGGTGAGGGAATCCCTTACACGTCATATTGCTTGGATACCGAAAACAAAAACAGTGCTTTTGGACCATATATGGGCACCTACGTCAGCGGAACACCAGTAAGAGGAGGAGCCAGGACTCCCTACTTTACAATGCGTTCTCAGGCTTCATTCACAAGAAGAAGCGCTGCTGCCGAAACACCGAACAACCTTCTACTCCCGTTTGTAATAAACACATTCCGGATTATTTTTTATGGATTTATAAATGCACGCATTTCACGGATTGCACCAAGGCCTGGGAAGTGTTATTCAAGGAGAGATTGGAATTTAGAAGTTTCCTCCAGCAGGGAACGGGATTGATGTCTTAATGCAACTGTTTTGGAAAGAGACTAAGGGCATCTTGACGAAGACTCCAAATAAAACGTATTACGGTAGGTGACTTTAATATAATACAAATATTTAAATGTAATGCATCCACTTTTCTCTTTTTATGGTGCATTACGGTTTACAAACGCAAGCGAATAGTTGATGTCCTGACGAAAAAGCGCTTCATGTGACTTCTGTTGGGTGACAGGTGACATCCCGTTCTCGCCGGGCACAGTAGGTGTTTCGGCTTTTCTCGGCACCGACACCGGCTCCCGTGGAAGCTCATCTCCTTCTCTTGAATCTCAGTACCTGTCGTCCGTGGAATCCTTCGGGAGTCCGCCCACCACCAGCGCACCGCAAGTAAGTCACAGTATTTATTCACATTTAAACATCATGTTTGTCCGTGCAAATAACTGTTTTGCTAAACAGCACGGCAGCTGCGAGATTTGCTTGTTTCTGTAAGAGAAGCGGAGCGACGTTGCTGAGGGAATGCTTTTGCATTCGTTCGAGCGTGTTTAGAGGTGTAAAGTCGGAATAGAATTCAATAGAATACTGACAAGTCAGCATGCGCGCGGAATCAGGCCGGTAGCAACGTGGTGGGTTTACAGCACGTCGCTAAACAGATGACAAAGCGGTGGAAGTCTCCGAAGTTCTCACACGAAGCTCCGCCCTGTGCTCAGCGCTGCTGCTCGCTTCTCAGACTTCGGCGTGACGTCAATGCGTTCTATTTTGGAGTGTTACGTTGCGTTGCTAAGGGGAACACCGGGGGTGTGACGGGGGCGGAGGAACAGGGACGGGAGGGGCGATTCGAGTCCGGTTATTGGCTACGGCGTACTGCGTGCGCCTTTGCCTAACACGCTTTCATATGAATATTAATGAAACATGGAACTCACACTGGCATCACAGGGCCTTTTTTTTTTTCAAAAAAATAAACCGTACAAATATAGATTTTTCTTCTAAATATGTTTTAATATCTGTGTACAGATATATTGGAAAAACGTAAAATGTATTGTGTATTTGCATTTGGACACCCATTTGTTGGTAATTTGTTGGAATTTTTAAAACAGCTTTAAAACAGAAAATTCTGATAAGAATCCATGTCTTTTTCATATTTGTGTTGCTTTTGATTATCCTTACTCTTTTTTTCTGTTTTCATGATCTTTAGTCTGTTATTTGTACATGGAGGAAGATACAGCTTTACAGCAAGTGGTATTTTACTATCATTGATATATTATTATAGTCATTGTCAATATTTTGAAATAGATTTCAATTTTCAAAATTGTTCGGTTTTTGTTTTAATTTTATTTATAGTTTTAGTAAATTTGTTATGTGTTTTTGCCATTTTTATAGATTTTTATATGTCCATATAGTTTTTATGATTTTTTAATTTATTAGTTTTAGTTTATTTCATTTGAGTTATTTCAGTACTTCAAGTTGAAGGGATAGTTCACCAAAAATTAAAATTCTGTCATTATTTACGCTGCCTCATGTCATTCCAAACCTGATGAGTTTCTTTCTTCTGTTGAATATAAAATATTTAGAAGAATGTGGGTAACCAAACACATTCTGGTCCCCATTGACTGGAAACAAAAAACTGTGGAAGTCAATGGCTACAGTCAACTGTTTGATTACCCACATTCTTTCAAATATGTTCTTTCAGAAGAAAGAAACTCATACCGGTTTGGAACGACTGTATTTCAAGGTGTTTTTCAGGGTGAGAAAATGATGACAGAATTATAATTTTTGGGTAAACTATCCCCTTAAACTAAACAAAAATGATAAATGTTGCCTTGACTTTTTTTGTATATTTCATTTTATTTCACTCAACGATAATTTTGCTTCAAGTAAAAAAATTGGGCTTTTATGGTTTTAGTTTTAGTTAACAATAATAGCTTTGTTTACAGCAAGCTGGTGGGGCCCATAGTTAAATACTGTTTATGTTTTTGGTTTCCAGGAGTGTGTATCAGCCACTGGCGTGGTAGGGGTGGGTGGAGGGTCAACCGGCACCGGGGCAGGGGTGGACATGCCCAGCTCATTTGTGCCCACAGTGACGGCCATCACCACCAGCCAGGATCTGCAGTGGATGGTGCAGCCCACTCTCATCTCCTCCGTGGCACCAGGGCAAAGCAGCACGGGCTCCAGCACCATGACGCAGCCTGTTGCTTTGGATCCTTATGACCTGCCAGGCCCAAGCTTTTCGTCGGGTGGAGGATTCACCCCACCAAGCTCTGATACTCCTGGCACAGTGAGACAGTCTCGGAGCCGTCGCCGTGCACGCGATGAAACGGTGAGTGAGGACCATGACAGAATGGTTAGTCATTTAACATTTTGATAAAAAAATGTAAAAACAACATTTGTTCTGTTCCCAGCTGACACCTGAGGAGGAAGAGAAAAGACGTGTTAGACGAGAGAGAAATAAACAGGCTGCCGCTAAGTGTAGGAACCGAAGGCGTGAGCTCACAGACAGGTTACAGTCGGTGAGCGATGCTGTACTCACATATAATTGCACTTGTTACATTACAATATTTCATCCATAATAATAGATGAATGCAAAGGCATCATAATTACTGGATTCATAACATGCCAATCTGCGCATAACAATAATTTTTACAATGATAGTTTGTAAATTATTCCAACACACACATATGCATTCTGCTGCATTGTAATTAGAACAAAGAGTGTATAAACCCACCGTAATTATATTGTGGGAACTGAGTTTCCAATTAAGAAAATGGCATTTTCTCCAAGTTTATTTTGTTGTTGCTCTCTGAAACTATAGCAACATATATTTCTGAAGTAACTCTGTGCCTGAACAACTATGATAAAAGGAAACCCTTGTTTTTGTCCTCATTTCATGTGATCATATAATCTCTGTCCCCTTGTGTCCTCCTCTTGTCTCTCCGACCTAAGGAGACAGACATGTTGGAGGAGGAGAAGGCCGAGCTCGAGGCCGAAATATCCGAGCTGCAAAAGGAGAAGGAGCGCCTGGAGTTCGTCCTGGTCGCCCACCAACCCGGTTGCAAAATTCCCTATCAGGACCAGCCCCCCGTGCCGCTGCCGCTGCCTCTGCCTCTGCCGCTACCGCAGACATCCCTGCAGACGCCTTCTGCCTCCGTGGTGGGTTTGAGTGTGAAGGAGGACACTTTCTACCTGCCACCGGCCTACTCGTCCCACCACCACCACCACATCCCGGTTTCACAGCCCACGCAGACACAGCCGGCCCCAGCACAACAGCAGCAAGGGATGATGCAGGAGGTAGCCTTTTCTAGTTCTTTCTATGGGCAGGGCCAGCCGGCGCCGGACGGCCCGTGCCTTGTTGCCGACGGTGGCGGTAACCCTGACACCGGCAGCTACATCCCCTCATACACATCTTCATTTGTGTTCACCTACCCAGAGGGAGCCTGCGGGGCCAGCGCTAACCAGCGAACCAGCAGCAGCGATCAGTCCTCTGATTCCCTGAACTCACCCTCGCTTCTTGCACTTTGAGAGCTCTGCATCTCTCTGCCTCTGCTTGCCTGTCGACAGCAACACATGCACACTTACAAATTCAAACATTCGGTATTACACCTCTCAGACATTGCACTGAACTTTTACATTAAAGCCTTTTGATTTGAAACCGAGGCCCAGATGCGTTAGCGTCTGAGTGACTTCATCAAATGATGTAAGTGTATATTAATTCACAATCACACACACACACACACACACACACACACACTTAAATTGTCATAGACATTCAAATCCGTTTGACATAACAATAAAAGCACATCAGCGCACTCCCCCTTGCTTTTATCTTTTCTCGTTCTGGCTTACATTGGTGTATCATCTCCCTCTTTCTCTCTCTATCCACGCCAGGTGCCTGCTGTGTATTTGTCTAAGCAAAAAAGGTTGCACAGAACTGCTTTGTGGGTTTTGTTTTTTGTTTCGGGCTACCTTGCTACCCTTTCTTTCTCCATCCAGTTCATCCACACCTCTTCCTGTGACAAAAGGACATGACCACACACTCTACAGTACCTATCTCTCGTTTTTTTTCTCCCTTTGTTGTCCATCTCCACATCTGTTTCTCCTCTCTCCTGTCTCTATGTACCTATGGTTCTCTCTGAAGTCTTCAGCCCCTGAGAGCCTGTTGGACCCTGAAAGCCCATGGAACCTTGAGTGAGTGCCAGCCCACATCCCAACACCACAATTTCCCTTCGCACGGACCATCCCACAGTGGAACCTCAAAATTTCAAAATATCGAAACGAACCAGCCACAGCGCGCAGATCAAATGCCATCTCAGATGCCACCACACTGGCTAAAGGAACGGGACTCTTTATTTCTCCTCAGCATTGAGGATTTGATTTTGGATGAGCGGAGGCACACTGGCTAGACTTTGGCGAGGCCAGCGGAGGAGTTTTGGAGAGCCCTTGGAATGTGGAGGTATGAGATGGTGAGAGTATTCGCATGACCATGCTCTACCTGTCATCTCCCACTGGTCCTTTGAGAGCTTTCACACCGTGCTCACCCTTTCCCCTTTCTTGAGGAGTTTGTTTGCTTGTTTCATTCTGTGTTTTAATGATAGTATTAACTCCGATCTCAAAAGTGGCTTATCTGATGATAACATAAAAGAGTGGCTCGACACTCTGTGGTTGAAGAGCATTATAATGAGCAACCAAAAAAAAAAAAGGACAACCTCTTGGTTTTGGATGTGTGGCCTCTGTGCTTCTTAAAGTCCTTGACATAGTCCTTGAGTTGTGGATGTGGTTTAGCACAGCTCTAGGCTTTGATTGTGAATGGAAGTCACAGAGTACTACATCTCCAGTTGCTTTCTTTCTTTAAGGGGGTTGTTGCTGTTGTTGTTAAAATGGAAAAAAGCACAAATGCCGGCTGCGGACGGAAGGAACACAAACAGTTGCCAACCTAAAGGATGGGATGTGCTGTTGAATATGAACCGTTTACTTTCCTGTGAATGTTTTTGATGTTTTGAGTTACTGATTTTTCATGATGCTTTTTCTCTTTTGCTCTTGATTGTGCTGTTGCTGCCAAATGGAAGCATTTTGTGGGGCTATTAGCTGCTCCTTCTATCTGTTACTGTTGTCTTACTGCAGTTATCACGAATATTGTTATTATGGTGATTATGATTATTTCATAGTTATCTCATGTTGGCAACTAAAAAGGCATGTTGTGCACTATGAACCTTTTTTATGTCTAAAACTATATATATAAAATATATATAAGTATATATTATGTATGCATATATATATACATATTCAGTGTGTATATATATATACAATGATTGTAATGTAATGTATGAATGTTCAGAAAATGTTATTTTTGTCAATGAAGACAGGAGGGAGAGTTTGATGCACTTGGTTTTGGTTCAAACATAGATATTTTTCTAAAAGAACAAAAATATATTATAATAAACAATAACAGCCCGCTTTTCCCTTAATATGAAAAGCATTGTCACTGCCTTTCATTCGAAACGTGTAATATGTATGATGACTGTATTGAAACTGTGGTGCATATAGTGATATATGTATCACAGATTTGTGCTGTGCTTGATTTGTCAATGAGGTTGGTTCCACAGCCCTTGTTCATCAACCCCTGTGGACAAAACACACTGGACGCAAAAGATCTATAAATGCTTAAATAAATCAATAAATATGCTAAAGAAAAAAAGAAGATATGAATTGAGTGTCTCGATGTATTCTAGATCATCTGATATTCAGCTGTGTTTCTCAAGCAGTGGTATTGATTAATCATGTCCAGTGTGTGCTGTCTGCCCTTTGGCTTTTGTGTGTGTGTGATATTCAGGGCTTGATGGACAACTTTCAACCAGCCCTTATTCATTCATGTTATGGACATGATCAGAAAATGATGCCTGTCGACGTCATACACAGATGGGAAGTATTAGATGAGGTCCATTGTTCTTATTAACTTTGGCTTCATCGTGTGGAGTATTTTATGAGGTGGAAATGATAATATTTGTACAGTTGTTTAAATCGAAATGCCTTTTCATGCTACATTTATATACACAGGTGCACCATTGTCTTGTTGGTTGAATTTAGACCCAGAGCATCAAATTTAAACTGAAAAGAGACAACTGCGTGAGCTCTTTCCAACAGAGCCATTTGATGAAATTTCGTTCTCATTTGGCATTGAAAATTGAATTAAGGCATCTCGAACAGTGACGTAATGAAGCCAGAGCTGTGATTTCACAAAGTGGGAAGTTATATGATATTAGAAAGCACGTTGTCAAACAGCCCCATGCTCCATTACATTGATATCAATTGAACTTTTCTTCAAATAACTTTATTGTGTGTCACAACAGTTTTATGTTGTTTTGATTTTTCAGCTGTTGGTGCTTTTGTTAGGCTACTCCTACGCCAAAACATTTTGTTACTGTATCTGACTCTGATATGATAGCATAAGGAGATGTTGGTTAAATGATACAGTATCAGTGACTCTGTGGTCTTCCGCTTTGCAAAAACTCTGTTTAGATTGAGCTGGGTATTTTCAAATTCACAGCGCTTTGAATTGACACAGTGGAATGCAATATATCAGATACTCTGAGAACCATGTAGCAAATCAACTGAATTGTATGATACAAGTCGTTCCTTGTGCTACAGTGTCACAGTGAAGAATTGAGACAATTTGTTTTGTCTTTCCAGTTTACCTTACGTATGATTTACTCTGCTGAGACCTCAATGACGGGATGGTTATGCATTATTAGGATGTAAAATGTTAGTACCTCCCGGGCTTCAATGTGAGTGTCATTTGATAGGTGAACTGTTTCACTTTCTAATGCACATTTGAAGATTGCCTTCAGTATAAAATGAGTGAAATATTAGCCAACTTAGACTAATGTTACAACCACTTGAAAAGAAAGAGGGCTGACCTGTTTTTTGTACGTTTTTTGCCTTTTTTGAAGGGAAATGAAAGTTGGGTGTAAAATGAATCACATAACATTTCAGAAACGATATGGTGCTTTTTCAATACTGTTTGTCTTTGTATATTCTTGATTAAGAGTGCCGATGACAGAGGTGTCTGGGAGATTTGACGTTATGGGTTTAGGACACTCGTGATTTTAGAGTGCTTTCCTCGCCATGACTGCTCCAAGTTCTCATACAGAACAGCATATTTAATACATACTGAACAACCCTTGTGAATTATATAATCCGCCGTTCTACATTCTTTCTCTTTTCACCCTTTCTCCATTTCATTTCACTTTATGCTATATTTCTAGCCCTTTAATGAATGGGGAAGGACTTTTCATATCGTTACATAGACTGTGAAATCTTGGTGTACTGTCCTATCTTAATATCTTTGTATGACGTCCAATTTTTCTTGTAAAGGAAATGTCTACAAAATAAACATATAAAGAGTTACTACCTGTTCGTTTGCCAAACTTTAATCTATTAAGTCTGTAGAAATGTAGCCCAATGTACTTTGTTAATATGAAGGAATTTTCTGCATTTATATTTTGATTTATGCATTGAATTGTGTTGTATTTTAGGTTTGAAGGAATTGCCTGTAAACTTAAGGGGTAATGTCCTGGCAGAAAATTACCAGGATCTTTTCAGTTTTTCCACTTAATTATTATTATTATTATTATTATTATTATTAATTCAGTCATTCTTGAGAAGTGGGACAAAACAGGGTGCAAAATTGAAAAAATAAAACCTTGTACTCAGACAAATGAAACTACATTTATGTATCTTATATGTACTAAGCTACTGAGCTATGCTTTGATACAACCTTCCAACTTTTCTCTTTTTTAACAAAATGTGCTTTTTTACCTTGGACTGTGTAATATAATTTCAACTTTATCTTTAACAGTATTCAAGATGTTTTTAACATTTCAAAACACATTCTCGTGTTAGCAGACAGATTACACTTTCACATGTCACCAACAATTCCACAACAAATATAAAATATCATAATGAAATATTATCAAAATATTCAACTGATGGAGTTGACATCTGATGGAGGTGACGAAAACCTGAATTTGTAGTCATTTTAACTATCAAATACATTGAATCAGTCAATTACTGTATTAAAACAAACACAACAAACAGTGAGTATGTTATTGTTTATAAAGCTTTTATTCAAGAGTCACATTTAAGTATTTTGATATATCATTGGAAAACAAAATCTTATGGTGGTGACATCTGACGGTGTTGACAAATTTGGCATTTCTTTCACAAAACCAATGGAGATAATTGTGTTAAATACATCCTATTATTAATCCCTCATGACATTTAAAATTGAAAATATTTTTATTTTTAAACTTAATAGCAGTTACCCTTGCTGGAACTGTTTTGTCCCATGTCTCAAGAATTAACATATTATTATTATTTACATCTCAGTAGAAAAAGTAAAAATCGATTAAAATAAGCAGTTATGCTTATATATATAACAGCACAGTATTCTACAAATAATATTTTACAAATATTTAATGCATAAGGATGATTATATTTGGGGGTCTAAAAGACTGAAACCCCGTGACACGCAATCAGGGGCATGGAATTAATTAGATTTTGCCGCCCTCTAGTGGATAAAATAGAAATAGCATGTTGCAATATACAATTAGCCAGACCCATACATTACATAGATACATACATACATACATAGATTAAAGAGTATTTTCACCAAAAAATGACAATATTATCATCATTTGTTTACCCTGATGTTGTTATAAGGCCGTAAGACTTTGTTCACGGATAAAAAAAAGAAAAGGCAAAATGTCACCATTCACTTGTATTGCATCAATTTTCCATTTAATAAAAGGTGACCGAAGCTGTCATGGATAATTCCGCTTAATAACAAACGTCCAAATGTTTTGTTGCCGCACACAAACTTACCCACCGGAGCAACAGAACGTTGAATAAAAGACATGTTTTGGAGCCAGTGATTGCTCGGTTCATTCGGAACATTCGGGTCAGTCGATTTGTTCCGAAGACGGAGAGGATGTTACGTCACAATATTTCCGCAACGCGTCGGGTTTTCCCTGGGAAGATGGCGACCGTTACAGCAGGTAAGAGACAGAAATGACCCTTATGTATGGAATATGGTCACTGTACAGGTCCGCAAAGACGCTTAAATCAACATTTAACTACCTGTGGTGGGAAATTCAGAAGAGAATGTCTTGTGGAGGTTAAGATAAGTTATTCACGAAGAGCTAAAGCGCAATACTGCGGCGTGGTTCAATGAAAACAGGCCACGCACTGCATTACTATTGTCTCGTTATGACACAACATTGTTATTTAAATGCTATTTATATCACACAGACGTGCTTTCATATATCATATTAGCGATTAAAGGGAAATATTTTTATATCGTATAATTTAGTAAAAGTCATTCTACCTGGTCTTACTGTATTACCTGTTTATAAAGCAGTCCCTTAAAATGATTGTGGCAGAAAGTATGTGTAAACCAAGAACTGTTTTATTCTCCGCTGGGAAAACACACACACACACACACATTTGTAAAATACCAAGACTGGGTTGCTGGTTTGCAGTCTCCCAGACTGGTCAGGTTGGTCTGTTGGCTGATTTAAGAAGGATTTTGGCAACTTTTCAGATGTGAGGACAGTTTGCTGACCAGCTAAACCAGCTGCACTTGACCAGTCTTTAAGATCAACTTTGACCAGCAAACCATTTTAGGTGGTTTGAAATGGTTTTTTTTTTTTTCAGAAATGTACGGTAATAAACAGTTATTAATATTGTATTATCTAGTGTGCACTAGACTGCACTAAGACTGAAGTACTGAACACTGAATGTTAAACCAGTTAATCCTAAATGGAAATTTCTTTTGTAAATTAATTTTGACTATCCGTTCAGATAGTTTTGTTCAGCTTGTGAACAGCCTTGAACAGGATAATTCATTTAACAACACGAGACTCATGGCTTTAAAAATAATACTCATGCAGCTGCTCTGGCTGACCATGTGCTCTCTCGTTGTCATGCATGTCCCATATGCTGCTGACCTCCTTTCCATGTTGGGTCTGCAACATTTTTCGTTTGTCTCCTAGAATTAGTCTGTTTTAACCTTTATGTAGTTGTTTTTCCTGACCATATGAAAACACAGTGTCATCCAGTTAATGTCAAATATGAAAATGTAAAAAAAAATTATCGATCTAACTTCTCGATCCGCTAGCAGTTCACAGTATTGTCTGCAAATGCTAACCCATTCTAAACAAATAAGCTAAAAAATAGAGTATTGTTTCTATATCAACAGATAAAATGGTGGTCTTGACCATAATATGTGTAACATTGCTGACAGCTTTAATTTTAGTCACAAAAATGTACACATTTCTCTTTAAAAATGTATGTTATTCTTTAGAGTGCATATAATCACTGTTTTCTCTTTGCTGCTTTAGTCACCTCAGAATGGATCCAGTTCTTCAAAGATGCTGGGATCCCTCCTGGACTGGCTGTCAACTACGCTGTGTCATTTGTTGATAACAGGTAAAAATAAATCATTGCCTTTCACTGGCTATGTTTACATGCAACCAAATAATCCACTAGTTATCGGATTGATGGTTCAATCGGACTGAAAAGCCTTCATGTAAACACCTTAATTGATCCGATTGAGCTCGATCTAAATGAAATTTCGATCGAATTGGAAGGGGTGGTGTAGACCTTTTATAATCCGATCCAGAGGTCATGTAAACACATAATCAGATTGAAAACTGGAACTGGAAAGTACTGCACATGTGTAATGCCATAGAAATGTCGTAATGACATGTGGACTGAGCTGTTGTTTTTGTAGAATGAAGTGTCGTGAATGACTGTCATGTTATTCTAAAATTCTTCTTCCACCCATCATCTGTGAAGTGGAGCAGAACATTGTCCCTTCAACTCTCACTTTATACTCTCGTCCACAGACAGCTTGTTTTTGCAACAGGAATGGGCGCTTTTACTGCTTGATAAATATAAACAGCACAGCACAAAGCTTTTATGTGCTCTTCGTCTCCTAATTAGGACTCAAGATAAATATTAAGTCTGCTCTTTTAAACAAAGAAAAGAAGTGATGGTAGAAGAATAGTATGTGCAAACTGCGGAAAACTTTGTATATTTGTGCAGTGTGCGTGTGTCAAAAGATCAAATCTGAAATGAAGCTTATGACATATAAATGTGCACATCAACCCAATTTATTTAGACGCTACGTTCAGATTCATCAATCAGAATGATTTAATTCCGAATGAAACAAAAGGTGTCCATGTAAATGAAGCCACTATAGTGAACCTGTCCAGACAGACATGAACTGGTTCATCTGGTTCAGTACAGAATCGATCTCGGTCTGCTTATGTGTGCTTTAATTGCTGGATGTTTTCTCACCAGTTTGAACAGTCAAAATCTGGCCTTCTCTGAAATGTGAACAAACAACATTCTGAACAAAAGTTTACTCCTGTACAGCACAACTGGATGCTGTAAAAGCATCAGTTACTTTTCTCTTTTCAGGATTCAGAAAAGCATGCTCATGGAACTCAGTAAGGAAATAATGATGGACTTGGGAATCACAGTCATTGGGGACATCATAGCCATTCTCAAACATGCAAAGCATGTGTATAGACAGGTGAGTGCAAATGTTAATTTCTAGTATTTGGGTATATAAATGCTGCCAAAAGTCAAATGTCTTCTGGTGAAACAATAATTTGCAAAAATTGTGTTTTCTGATAAAAGTCTACAATTGACAGATTACTTTGTGTTGTTTAAAAAAAAAAATATATATATATATATATTGTTGCGAATCAGCTCATGGGGAAATATGAATAATTAATCATAACTAGTTATAATTATAAATATTTAGATCCGCTGTAGATATTTAGCTGACCTCTCAGGGTCAACTGTCTGTCAATTCTAAGAACGTTCATTGCCTGGTTAAGGGAAATAACTTTCTTACTGTACAATTCTACAAAGAGCTTGTAGCATAAATCTGCATGATTAAGTGACTCCAGTTATGAGCAAACAATGAACAACGTCAAGTGTGATACAAATAAGACTTTATTAACTACATAAACACTTAAACTAGTCTAACATACTACATAAACACTTAAACTGGTCCAACATACACACACACACACACACACACATATACAGTTGGTATAGGAAAGGGTTAAAGCTTAACGCAGTAGAGAGAAGAGAAAATAAGAATATGAAGTTATGGAACCATTTGCATATTCAGCAGATCTACAGCCTGAGACACGCTAAAATATATATATATATATATATATATATATATACACACACACACACACACAGTGGAGATGTGGAGATCAAAATTAGAGAAAAATATATAAATAATTGATTTTTTTTCTGAAATATTGTTAATCTTAATTGCTCAAAATTTGAAGGAATATTAGCTGTAGGTATACCACTGTTCTATGTTCTACTAACATGTTTGACAAAATAACTAAGGCAATTCAACAAAAACCTTTATTTGGTTGAAAACACAGTGATAAAAATTAGAGAACAGTAACCACTGTAGCACGAAAGAAGATTACAACTAAAAATTTGGAAGGTTGCAGCTGTCAGAAATTAGTAGGAATTGTAGAGGCTCCTGTTTTGAGTGACTTCAGCACATCTGCGGCTGCAGGACATCACTAGTTTCTCACACTGCGCTGGTGTGATCTCGGTCCACTCTTCTTCCAGTATCTTCCATAGTTCGGTAACTGTAGTAGGTTTCTTGGCCATAACTTTGTGGCCAAGGTTTTTCCAAAGATTTTCAATTGGGTTTAGATTAGGACTCTGGGCTGGCCATTTCATTATTTCAATGCTTTCAGCTTCAAGGAACTGCTTTACACATTTTGCAGTGTGACGGGGACAAAATGACAGGCTGATTGGGAGATGCTTGTAAGGAAGGAACTGCATGTTGCTGAAGGAGGTTCTGATAAACATTTGCATTCACTCTGTCATGTAGCTGTATAAGAGGCCCAAATCCTGCTGCACAAAACATCTCCCAAACTAAGACACTTCCTTCTCCACCTTTCACTGACTTCTTTACGCACTTGGGGTTCAGTCTTTCCTCAGTTTGACACTGAACAAAATGTTTCCCATCAGACCCAAATGAATTAAACTTGCTCTCATCACTGAAGTGAACTTTAGACCAGTTCTCCTCTCTCCACACAACATGCTCCTCAGCAAAGGTGAGCCTAGCATTTCGATTCTTTCTGCTGAGGAGAGGCTTCATCACTGCAGAGTGCGCTTTCAGTCCGACTTCTCTTAAATGTGCCGAGACAGATTCTTACCCTGTTCAGCTCTGAACTGGTGAGCAATTCCAGCTGCAGTGTTGAACCGATTCCCCATTGAGAGTTTCCACATTATCCTGTCTTCTCGTGCATTTGTCTTACGTGGACGACCAGCCTTTTTGGGGGACTTGAATGAATTAGTGTCATTGTAAATCTGCAATATTCTAGAAATCACAGATTTGGAATGACCAACTTCTCATGCGATGGCTAAAAGGGTCAACCCTTTGGCATTTATCTGGACAACCTCCTGTCACAGGATTTCAGTCACCTTAGAGCATCTTGCAATCTCAGTGAAAATTGGAGGAATGCTGCCAGTTAAATAAGGTTTGTCATAATTAAGGAGATTAGCATCATGTGGCAGATTAACACCAATAACTTGGAGGTATCTGTAAGTGTTCTCTAATTTTCATCTTTTAGGAATTTAGGAAATTGTAGGTTGTTCTCTAATTTTGATCTCCACTGTGTCTGTGAATATATATATATATATATATATATATATACACACTGTGATTTGCTCACACCTTGTGTCTCCAACTTTAAGCAAAAGTAGAGTTTTATACAGTCAT